AGCAGGCCTCCGCAGCCAGGGTGACAGGGCGGGGTGAGCACCAGCTTGGGGAATCTTTGTTTTGTTTACGGTAATATGCCCTGATGTTTACTCCTGCTGATCACAGCTGTTTCACATCTGCTGAGTCACCCCACCTGCTTGCACCAGCCTTCCTGTGCTTACTCGAGTGTACAGGAAAAAACGGCCTAGTCTAATTGTTTTCAGCCTTTCCGTGTTCGGCTGCAACACAGACCAGTGACGACGATGTGAACAGCAAGGTATTCCTGAGTGCATACGATTCTACTTCATTGGTGTGTTTCTCTTTCAGGCCCTAAGCCGGTGTCACCTAAAGCACATCATAGCCCTGTGGCAGCTCCTCTCTACTCACAAGTCTGAGCAACTGCTGCGTCTCAAACGGGTAGGAAAGTGTCTGGCCTCAGCATTCGGTTCAGTGTTTTTCCTTCTCCCCAGAGGAAACTGCTCACCTGTGCATGTTCTTGCTGTGCCTTCTAGGATCCCTTTGTGGATGTTGATGCAGCCTATAAAGCTGAACTCAGTTCAGAGAACACCAAGCTCCTCAACACCTTCCTCATTCAGGCCGGGTTGGAGACCTTCCTGCAGGAGCTGCACGAAATGATCATCCTGAAGTTGAAACATACCAAAGTTGGAGATGAGTTCAACCCCTTGTGGAGGTAATGGACTGCTCAGCCCAGACCTAACTACCTTCACATGCTCATTTTTTATTTCTGTCATTTACATTGCAAAGGGGCAAAGGATTCCCTTCGTTTTTCCTGCTCAGGTGGGCACAAAGCACAAAACACCAACCAATTGAACAGTGAAAAGCTTCAGCCGGTGCTAAGAATGTTTACACAAACTTTGGGGCATGTGACTTTTCTGCATAGCCGTACGACATGTCAAATATTCAAATGGGAATGGCTGGTTTTGAGTGCTTAATGGAATGCTAGCATTGGGCAAATCCAAGCGTAGCACAGCCCAGCTCGGTTGGCTTTCCATACACAGCTTTGCCCCTGCACTTCGATCCTAACCTGCAGCGCTTCCCACGTCTATTCTCTTGAGCTTCCATGGGAGTCGCCAATGTATTTCGAACCTGACCTGTTGCACCATTTAACCTATCTCACTGTAGTATATATAACACTCAGTAAAAAATATTGTGTAGGATGCATGCGGCATACTGCAATGTTATTATTAATGGTGTTTTTCTCTCTCTTTATTTTCTAGCCTGAAGGATACACTTCTTTCGTACATTGAAAGGAAAGGGAGCAGCGTACTTACAGAGCTGGAGGATATGTTCCCAGAAGAGATTCTGCTCTCGCACTGTATTGCTGCCTGGAAAGCTGCTGCTGCCCTCAAAAGGGATCGTAGACTAAGTTAATCTAGTAGAGGATCCTGCAAACGCTGCTTTTTACTGGAGGAGCAGCACTGGGTCTGTGTAAGACCTGCTCATTGCACTGATCTTCCTTCCTGTCCGAGGTGAATTCTGGTGCCACAAACACGCCATGTCAATGAGATCGTGAAAGTAACCTCTCTCTTACACTGGACTCAGGACCAAAATGGGATGCACAAGCATAAAGGATTTTATGCATCAGAAGGACTGGGGGGAAACAAATGTACATACAAATATGTGCTATTTCTTGAGCGGGCAAAGCAGAGATGGAAACACTGTTCATAGAGAGGCGTGGTGAAAATTCATGTATCCTTGAAGGATAAAAAAGCCATCATCCTTCAGTGACCTGGGCAGAGCGGGGGTGGAGTTGGGGGTATCAAAGTGTCTTGTGAGCTACTTGGACAGCCCCAGTACAGGCATGCTTTGTTCTCCATGTTTTTTGTGGGCACTGTTCCAGTTCACATGCTCCCTTACTGCCAACCTTTTCCTCTTTAGCTAGATGAAAAGCAAATGTTGTCCTCCCTCATCCAGGTCTCATAAGCTTCCCTGCTGCAATACTGCCCTAGCTGCCTTCATATGTCTAAAGGGTCATATTGGCTCGCTGAGCGGTCTAGCTTTATTCCTGCGCTAACATTCCATGAGTCCAGGGGTATCAGTTACCAGAGGTCCGTTAACTTCCTCTTTGCATAACACATCCAGTGCAGTTCAAAGCTCACCACGGAAGTTTGTTCTTGTAGCTGCTTTTAAAGTAAAACATTAAAAGGCAATGTGGCCCAAATCCCACACAACAGGACAACCTAATGGTCCTGAATTACTACCCCCACTACTCTTCCTCCCCCCTCTTCCCCGAGGCACCGTACATTTGCATCAGAATGGTGCTGCCAGGCAATTTCTGGCACGTGTGCATGTGCAGGCAGACGTGCACGTTGGAGCTGAGAGCCACTTCACTCTTGTGTCTTAGGTACGTTTTCTGGATAGCATGGACTCTCCATTAGGGTTTAGTTGTCATCTTCTTAGCTGATATTGAACAACCATAATCAGACTATTAATAGGGAAAACAGAAATGTAAATGTCATTGCTCTGTGCTGCTTTCCCCATATAAATTTCTTGTGTCTCTGACTTAATACTTTTCAGTGTTGCCTTTCTCTAGCAGGAAGCATCTGCAACTGTCCGTACCACCCTGCTTTCCTGATATCACAGCAGAGTCATTTACATAGGTAGTTAGGACCATGTTTCCATTTAGAAAAGTTCCTTCTGGGCCAGAAGTTTGTACTTTATAGCCAGAATTTCACCCAGGAGCAAGTTTCTGATCAAATGTAAGGAAATCCAGATCTTTTGTTATGTTCCAGATAAGTAACAGGTTTTTTTAGACACACCTTCAAAATGAGAATCTTTAACCACACACATTCGATAGACTTGATCCCATTAAGGTTTGTCCAATAAATAGTGCAGGTCCACAAATCTGGATTTCACTAGGTGGATAATATGCATCCTAAAAACACTGGAATATGAATTCTCGCTAGGACAGGGTTTCCCCCCCTCCTCTTATCGAGGGGATTTTACAAGCTCTGCACTCCCTCTGTTCCCTGCCATTTATTGATCTGTTGCAGCATTAATATTTTAACAAATATTTGGGATAATTTGAAATGTAAAGTTAATCATGAGGGTTTGCCTATTGGAAGCAGTATGGCTTCCAATTACATTTGCAGTATTTCCATCTCTTACTGCACAGTTAATGTTTTCAAGTTGCCTTTTAAAAAGAAAAAAAAAGATACCTCAGGGTCTCAGTTTGGACAGAGCCCAAACTAACTTCCTAGCAGCAAGCATTCGGTGACCTTTTCTAGTCACTGTTTTGTTGCTGTTTCTAGCTTTAAGGTGCCTTAGCTGTAACAATTTACTTAGAGGGAATCATGCTAGATGTTCTTATGCTTCACTGAGTTGCTTTGTATGAAGGACTTGATTATTTTTTGTATTTTTTATTTAGTCTTAATAAACTTGATCAGATACGTTACGACCAATGTAGAAGTGTGCACCTATTTCAGGGCTTTTATTCTTGAGGATTTTGGGGCTGTTTCTTCAATAAATGAATGATTTGCTGCTCAAGATTCCTTAGCGGTCAACAGTGATGCTTGAAACTGTGTCTTGAAAAGCACCCAATGCACCGTTTTTTTGTACTCTGAGGAATCTGACATTTAAAACCTTGGCCTCTTTTGTCTTGCAAGCTGCTAATTATGCAGAAGTGCAAATTTGGACAGAGTTAATGGATGATTGCTGGGCTCAATTCCACACAGTCCATGTAAAACAGGAGCAGGGAAGCTTGCCCTATGTCATTTCCTTCCCTTCCCTCCCCTCCTAGAGGCAGGAGAGGTGATGAGTTTCTGATCGAGAGCCCCAGCCACCAGCAGTGCGCCTCTTGTCTGCTGCAGGGCCTGCAAAGTGATGGTGATTTCACTGCAAAGCTCAATTGCAGCAGGTCCCCCCTTTTCCTTCACCTAGTTCAGGGATTCTCCAACTGGGGTTGTGAGGTTATTACATTGGTGGGGGGGGGAGGGGTTGTGAGCTGTCAGCCTCGACCCCCAAACCCTGCTTTACCTCCAGCATTTATAATAGTGTGTTAAATATTTTTTTAAAGTGTTTAATGTATAAGGAGGGTTGCACTTACAGGCTTGCTGTGTGAAAGGGGTCATCAATACAAAAGTTTGAGAACAACTGGCCTCGTTTCTGCCTCAGCCCGGTCTTCCCTTCGCACTTTGCACTGCAAATCAAACTGGGGCTGGGCCCGGGCCCGGACCAGAGTGAAGCGGGGGGCTGGGCCCTGCGAGCTGGGCTGGCCCGATGGGTGGGGGGGGGAAGAAATCTGAGCCCTGCGAGCTGGGCTGTTCCCCTCACAGACGTTGCCACGCCGTGGGTGCCACGAGCCCCAAGTCTGGCCCTGCAGTGCCCTGGCTCTGAGCACAGGCAGACCTAGCATTGCTAACCCTCTGGGATTAGCTGGGAATCTCCCGGAATCAGACTCAATCTCCAGGAGGCTCCTGAAACCCATCCGGGAGCTTTTAGGCTACTAAAAGTCTGGCTGCGCAACACGGCTAAGGCAGGCTGCCTGCCGGCCTGAGCGCCACATGGCTCCTGGAAGCAGCTGGCAAGTCCCTCTAACTCAGGGGTTCTCAAACAGGATCGGGACCCCTTGGGGGTCGCGAGTTGTCAGCCTCCACCCCAAACCCCGCTTTGCCTCTAGCATGTATAATGGTGTGAAATATATAAAAACGTTTTTAATTTATAGGGGGGGGGGGCGGTCGCACTCAGAGGGTTGGGGGGGCGCCAGTACAAAACTCTGAGAGCTCCAGCTCCTAGGCAGACAGGGTGACTCTGCAGCTCCCATTGGCTGGGACCCGTGACCAATGGGAGCTGTGGGGGTGGGCCTGCAGGCAGGGGCAGCACGCAGAGCCGCCTGGCTGCCCCTGCGCCTAGGAGCTGGACGTGCTGCCCGCTTCCAGGAGCTGCCTCAGGGGCGCGCCGCCCGGCCAGAGTCCGCCCCCCCGCCCCAGCCCCAGAGCCCCCTCCCACCCCCAGAGCCGGCCCCGCCCCCGCCCGTGACAGGGAGGGAGGGGGATGGAGTGAGCGGGGGCGGGGCCTCGGGGAAGGGGCGGGGCGAGGGTGTTCGGGTTTCTGGGATTAGACAGGTGGCAGCCCCCGTGCTGAGACCAGCCCCCCGCTCCGTGGGCCCGGCCGGCGGGGAAGCGGGGCCATGGCGCGCAGCGAGACGGAGCCGCCGGAGCAGGCGCCGCTGCGCCGCTGGGAACGGTAATGGGAGCGGGGCGCGGGAGGGCCCCGTCGGACAGCCCGGGCTTCCGGCTGCGGGGCATGCTGGGATGTGTGCTCGCGGAGCGGCGAAAGCGTTGTGCGCATGCGTCACAGTGTGACGTCATGGGCGGGCTTGTCAAGGGACCCCCCCCCCTCCCAGGCAGACCGCGGCCCCCCAGCCAGCGTCATCAGTCCCGGGGGACCCCAGAAAACCAAACACCCGTGCTCCGCCCCTCCCTGAGGCCCCGCCCCTTGGCTGAGGCCCCGCCCCTTGTCCGTCACCCGCTCTCCCCGACCCTCGCTCACTCCCTCATTTTCACAGGGCGGGGCTGGGGGGGTGCAGGCTCTGGGATGGGGCTGGGGATGAGGGATTTGGGGTGCGGGAGGGGGCTCCGGACTGGAGCCGAGGGGTTTGGTGTGTTGGAGGGGGCTCAGGGCTGGGGCAGGGAGTTGGGGTGTAGGGGTGCAGGCTCTAGGATAGGGCTGGGGATGAGGGATTTGGGGT